CTATGTCTATCCTAATGCTTGCTATGCAGTTAAGACTGGAATTCAGGCAATTCTCTTGCCTCAGCCTCTAAAATGATGGCATTATGGCATGAGTCACTGCACCTGGCTCTGTATTTGCATTAGTTCTAGACTGTTATGGAGTAATCTACTATTAGTTGTTGTATTTGGTGTTATAATTATAGGTTTGTAGGTGAAGAAAGGAGAAACAGTAATTGATTTTTATACTTTTCTGTTTGTATTTGGTTGTATTTCATGTTTTGAGGTAGCTCACTGACAGTACTTTTCTCATGTATACAAAGCCCAGAGCTTTTGGAATGCTACACTTTATACAAATTATTGCCCATGTGCTTTACCTAATCCAGCACTTTAGGTTTCAGTATGTCTCATAAAATGAAGCTGGCCTGAGAGTCCAATAGAAAGACAAAATTGATTTCAATTTCAGGCTTCCTTGGGAGAGAATTCACCTTATCCTCTAAACGTCCACACACTCTGTTCCTTCTCTAAATGGTCTTCGCAGCTTTAATGCTAATTGATTTTTATTACCTTATTTATTTTCTTAGTTAAAATATGCTCTTAGGAGCTTTAAAAATAACTGTGCCTCTTTCATAAGCTTCTACTTAATAGGCATTGTCATAATAGGTCACCTTTAGCATTGCTAATGCTGAGACCCCAGCACATTTCTAGCAAATCAAATCAGGTTTTATTTAGTTCAATTTAAAGAATGAATCAGCTTTGGATGTCTTCTAAATGAATTACAAATTAATTGGCTGAGTGTGTTCAGTGTTCTGTTCATTACGCCTTCCATTCTGACAGTAATGTAGGTTAACTCTCACTGGAGAATTTGGCGCAATGGAAATTCATGGAAATATTCCTAACAACAAATGTGATGAATTATTTGAATCTCCCTAGAATCTTCAACAGTTGGTTTTATTCTCCATTTTGAGAATTTTAACCATACAACTATTGTGCATTCAGGGTATAATGAACATCTAATGTAATTTTAGATGGCAAATAAATTAAGGTTATACCTTTTGATCAAGAAAAAAAACTTAGATGACATGTTTGGATTCATTCATAGAAAATGTATGATTTAGTAATAGTACTTACAATAAATGTTATTTAACTTTTTAAGAAAGAAGGAACAGATTTAATGAATCATTTTTAATGTGTTTTTATGTGTATGTGTGTTTACCTGACTATGTGCTTGTGCAACACATGTTTGCGATTGCCTGTGAAGACCAGAATAGGGGTTAGATCCCTTGGAACTGAAGTTATAGGTAGTTGTGAAGCATCCAGTATCAGTTCTGGAAACCAAATTTGGGTCCAGAAAGGACAGTATAGGCTCTTAACTGCTGAGCCATCTTTCTAGACCCTTGTAATTGAATTTGATAATACACATGTACTCTCTCTCTCTCTCTCTCTCTCTCTCTCTCTCTCTCTCTCTCTCACACACACACACACACACATACACACACACACACACACACACACACACACACACACACACACACACGGAGGGGGGAACACAGAAAAAGAGAGAAGAACATCTCATTAAGCCTGAAGCTTGCCATTTTGCCTGGATTGGCTACCTGGTAAACATCAAGGGTTCAGTTAGCTTCATTGCCCAGTGCTGGGGTTACCTGGTCTGCACTGCTTTTTACATGGGACATGGAGATTTGAACTAAGGTTCTTATCCTTACACAACAAGTGCTTTTGCCCACGGTACCATCTCCACAGTACATATTTTATTTCCCACTTTTGTCTGAATCTGATTTAGGAGGTCCTCCATGTTAAATTTCAGTTAGAAATAAAATACTAAAGGATATATGAGTAAGACCTATGCAAAGGGTAGTTTTAGGGTGGAGCTAAGTGAACTTCATCTCAGGCAAAAGGCAGCACCAGAGCCTCCATTACATTGCTTTTTCTGTGGAAAAATGAACAATGTCTGGAGCAAATGTCTATTTGCCCCAGAGGAAAGATTCCATCCAAATCCAGCCTGGGAAATCAGTGAGTTTACTGGGCTTACTTACTGGAACATGAATGGTTCAAAGTCACCTGCATCATACAAAAGCCCATCCCAGAATATGTGAGATGAAAATCACCGAGCTGCCTCACAGAGCCATGCACTTGATTAATCTGCAGTGTGTGATAGCTCTCCTGAAGGCTTTTGCAGTGAGGAGGCACACTGATTCTAGTCCCTATACCCTTCAGTCTGCACTACCAGAGAGGATTGGTGGGTCCACTACCATTAGCAGAGTCCCTAGTATTGTGTTTTATTTTCTTACCTGATGAAGGGGATCTGTGGTGATAATGAGAAAGTCATGTTATGCTCAGATGAAAAAACTATGCTACAATCTCATAACCCAAACATCATGATTTGCAACATTTCCTAAACCACTAGTGATCTCTCTCTCTCTCTCTCTCTCTCTCTCTCTCTCTCTCTCTCTCTATCTATCCATCTCAGCCTTCCTCCATACCTCCCTCCCTCTTTCTCTCCACCTGTCACTCCACCCAACTCACTGTTCCTTCCCTCCACTGTACCCCATCTTCTCTCTCTCTACCCTACTTCTCACTTCCTCTTTCCTTCTCCTTTATCACATCACACAAACACACAGAAATTTTTAGCTTACATATATATATATATATATATATATATATATACACAAAGCCAATTTTTTAGATTTTTATAGTACCCTGTAATATAATTGTATACATCATAGGGATAAAGCTTGTAGATAAATATTAGATATATTTTTATTTCAACCTCTGCAATGAACCCTTTGTGCCCTACTGAATGAGTCCTTTCACCCTTCTTTTCCTTATGCCTTATCAGCAAAATGAAAGTCATTATTCTATCATGTTCGTAGTCTACTTCCTAGGGATGCATCTAAGACTCATTGAATTAAACAATATATAAAGAATGTGGTATATTTTGTTTTTTAAAAGCCTAAAAGCAAAAAAGGTTGAAGCTATAAATATAATTCATTTTCTCACAATTAAAATGTCCTCTTACATTTTGCTTATTTGCCTTTTAAATTCAACATATTACTAGGGGTCCTTAAGTTTATAAGCCTGCTGCATTGTAATGAATTAATAAACAAATTGATAAAGCAAATGGATTTGTTTGCAGTTTGGCCCAACTGGGAGGGAAAGAATATTTATAGTTTCTTTCTACCTTTTCTGTAGCACTGCTAGAATTTAATAGAAAAATTGAAACAAGCTATGAAATATATATATATAGGTTAATTTATCAGAAATGTGTAAAATCTCTTCTTGGGAATCAAGTACTTTGGGTGCCTTTAATCTTTCTCTTTCTATCTGTACAACAACTCTGGATTAGCATTATAAAGCAGGACACTGATGGATCTATCTTTGGTGTGTATGTGTATGTGTGTTCATATATGTTTGAGGTATACACATGTGCACAAGTTTAGACATCTGTGTGGAGGCCAGTATGTCATCACCAGGGATTCCATAGACTTCCTTTGAGACAGGGTCTCTCATTGCCTTGGAATTCAAAATTTAGACTAGGGTTGACTGACCGATGAGACCCAGAGATTTTTTTTCTGTTTCTGTCTCCCAAACAGTAGGATTACAAGAGCATACACTCATATTGGGCTTTTGCATGGGTACCTAGGACCCAAGCAGGTCCCTCTGCATGCAAACTGAGCACTTTATTGAGTGAATTGTGTTATCCCCAGCCCCCATCATTGGTTTTTTTTATTGTAGTATATGAATGAGAATGTGTGCAGTAAAGGAAAATGTAGAAGGAACAGCCGGCTGTGTTCCCGCCTGGCTCCCGCATAGCTAGCTTTACACCCAGAAATAACAACACACTAACTGTATTCATTTAAACACTGCCTAGCCCATTAGTTTTAGCCTCTTATTGGCTAATTCTCACATCTTGCTTTAACCCATATTTAGTAATCTGTGTAGCACCACAAGGTGGTGGCTTACCAGGAAAGATCCTAAACTGCGTCTGTCTCGGAGAGGAGAGTCATGGTGACTGCATCACTGCCTTCTTCCTCCCAGCATTCTGTTCTGTTTACTCCGCCTACCTAATTTTCTGTCCTATCAAAGGGCCAAAGCAGTTTCTTTATTAACCAATGAAAGTAACACATAGACAGATGACCCTCCTCAATCAAGAAAAAGTTTGAAAGAATATGAATTAAAATGTTAAGTATTATTCTAGGTTTTTAATTTAAATTATCTTCCTGTTTATCTGTTTGTTGTAATGTTTGCATAGTGCAGAACATTACATTGCTGTTAGTTAAAAACAATTCTATCTTTCATATTAGCATACTGTATTATGGAAATTTAAAACAATGAAAATGTTCATTTTCATAATGAAGAAATGGCAAAACTCATAAAATCTGTTATTTTAATGAAAACTTGGGTTCATAAACTCATAGTCTTAGTTCCTCTGTATTTTAAACAATTTAAAAAATAGAAATTAACAAAAGCAATTGAACTAATTTACAGTTTGGCCAAAGTGGGGGTGGTCTAACATCCTCCCCACATGCCAGTAGTCATCTCAGAATTCATAGAAAGCCAGAAAAAAAGGCTAGAACATCCATAATGGTAACTGTGGGATAGGTCAGTAGGTCCTTTTCTGCTACAAGGAGACCTGGCTCTGAGGTTTTCTCTGAGGTATTTTTTGTTTGTTTGTTTGTTTGTTTGTTTGTTTTAAATTTACATCTAGATAGAGGAATATGAAATCTTAAAGATCCACCATTTTGAAAGAGAAGATAACATTTTATGGAGTATAGGAGTCTCCTTTGTTCCAGGACTGATAAAAGATTTGTTGCAAGTTTGTTGCTTTGATAGGTAGACAATGCCTTTTTGTGTGCAGGCCGGTTTGAACTCCTTACTCTTGTATTCCCCTTAAACCTGCTAATTTTGCAAGTGAACTTAACTTGGTACTTCTACTTCCCACCCTGTGAACCCTCTCAATAGCATTGCTTCCTTTGATCTTAATCAATTTTAAATGTGTTTTCTAGCTCCAGGACCGTACTCAGTTCAGTGACAGAGACTTGGCTACCCTTAAGAAGTACTGGGACAATGGTATGACCAGCCTGGGCTCTGTATGTAGAGAGAAGATTGAAGCTGTTGCGACTGAATTAAATGTTGACTGCGAAATAGTTCGGGTAAGACATGTTCAGTAATTTTCATGCCTTGTTGATGAGGAGCATAAATGAAAGCTTGGAAACTGGCAACATGGGTTATTATCAACAATATCATTAATGAAGTAAAAAGACCTGCATAAAGGAAGGCATGCTTTTTCAAAATATGTATCTGATAAGGAAATTATGTCCAGAGTATATAAATAACACAACTGAGTGATTAAAGACAAATAAAGCATTTTAAATAGCAATATATATATATATATGTTATATGTATAAATAATTTATTACATAATATATAAACATTTTCCAAAGCATAAAATTCTCATGGAACCAATGAAAACATATTTAACATTAATATATATGTATATATGCACATATACATAATTATAGAAATTAAAATCAAAACTCAGTAACATCCACCATGATGGATATAATTAAAAGTACAGATGCTCACAGGTAGGTCAGGACATGGAGAAGCTGATACCCTATGGCACCACTCATAGGAATGTTAGATGTTTACAATTGCACTTCAGAAGACTGTGCTCCAAAAGTTTAACATGGATTTATCTTGTGTTAGTAATTCTACTTCTGCATTCATACTTACATAATAGAAAACATAGGTCCTCCAAAAGAACTCAAACACAGATACGTCTTATCCCTGTAGCTCTGGAGTGCAAATAAGATGAATGTCCTTCAAATGAATAGAGAAAATATGGTGTAGGCATGTAATAGATTAGAGTAGGTCCATATAAAGAGAGCTGATATTGATACATGCTTCAAGAAGGGAAAGGCTTAAAAGGATTCTGTTAAGGAAAAGAATCTAGTGACAAAAGCGCACATAATATATGATTAATTTTATATGAAATGTGTAGAACACATGTAAAGTAAGTAAATTGGGGTCACCAAGAACTAGGGGTAGGGAGGTAAAGGTAATAAGTGGTAATGGATATAGAGTTTCTTTTCTGTCATGATGTATTATTTACAGAATTTGTTGTTATTGATGGACATCTCTGTTAATATCTTGAAAAATATCAATTTTATATGCTAAATGAGTCAATTGTATGATGTATCAAACATTCCTTATTGAAACTGTTTTACAAGTGTTACTACTATACTATGTAAAAACAAACAAACAAACAAACAAACCTGCCGCAGCCAAACATTAGGTATAGCTGCAGAAGACTGGGGAGGAAGGATTGTAGAAGTCAGGAGTTAAGGACACCAGGTGAACGTGGCCCACAGAATCAACTAACCAGAGCTCATAGGGACTCACAGAGACTGAACTGGCAATCTGGAAACCTTCATGGTTCTGACCTAGGTCCTCTACATATATGTTACGCTTATGTAGCTTGCTGTTTTCATGGGACTCCTAAAAGGCCAAGCAGGGGTTGTCTCTGACTCTTTTCCTACTTTTGGGATCCTTTTTCTCCTACTGGGTTTCTTCTTCCAGCCTTAGTATGAGGGTTTGTGCCTAGTCTCACTGAAATTTGATATGCCATATTTGGTTTATCTCTGAGAGACCCGCTCTTTTCTGAAGGGTAGTGGATATGGGGAAGACGAGAGGTAGGGTTGGAAAAGGAAGGAGAAATTGCAGTCAGGATATAATACATGAGAGAAGAGTAAAGAAAAAAGAAAAATTGCATGATGAATCTCTTGTATTGCGATAAATAATTGATGAAAATAGTTGTACTAATCAATTGTGGGGATAATAGTTTGCATGCCATTTGAAGGACATCTATATGAGGTTGAGATTATTATGGTATTTAAATATTTAATAATCTTTCTTTAAGGGACTGATGCCTTCTTTTGGTTTCGGGGTGTTTTTTTTTTTTTGTATGTTTTTCCCATTTACTGGTTTCTGTGTTATAAAGATTTCCCCAATTGAGTTTCCAACTCTCATTCAGCTTAGAGGTAGGAAGAAAAGATAGCATTTGGCTTTGTGCAAGGGTATTACATGGTTTCAGCCCATACTTAAGGGTCATCTCAGAAGATCCCAAGGGAAGTACTTTTAAAGAACAAGTGACAAAACATAGAATTCTTCTAAATGAAATAACTTTTTTTTCAAAAATATAAAGAGAAGACGAGGGGCAAAGTTCTCTCAAAATAAATACAACTCTAAAAAAACATGTACTGTCCTAGACAGAGCTTTGCTTTTTCTTGTTTTGATCTGGGTGTAAAATCAATTTCAATCCTGTGTTGCTGAGTACGCTGCTGTGTGAGAGTGTATACTAACAATAAAAGAGAAATGCATCAGAAACATCCTGTTTTCAAAGAGTTTTGAGTACAGCAAGAGGATTATCCAAAAGAAAAAAAATACCAGAGATCATATGAATGTGGAATTTTAGCGTGGAGAACCTAAGTAAAGACCACAAATAGGGAAATGTGGGGCTTGTGATTTCTTTAGTTTCATTTTTAAAAATCAAAGATGCTTGCTCTGTAAGCCATGGCCTATACTTAAGCCTCAGTTACCATGGTAGAAGAGAACTAGCTAGCACCTGAAAGTTATCCTCTGATTATCACAAGCACACTGTGGCATGTTTGTATCTGAGCATAAATACACACACTCCATACATATACAGCATATGTGCACATATACATAAACACTAATAATAAATAAAACAACTAGATATGTTTAAATATATTGTTAATTGAAATAGAATTCTATCACTTTGCCTTCCCTTTTCGTTCCTCGACCCCTTCCTAGTTACCCTCTCATGTCCCCACAACTCTCAAGTTGATAACCTCTTATTCTTTGATTATCACTGTTATATATAGAGAGAGATCAGGGAGAGAGAGAGACAGAGACAGAGAGAGACAGAGAGAGAGGAAGAGGGAGAGAAGGGGGAGAGGGAGGGAAGAAGTCAGCATTTTGGGGTTGTTTGTTAATAATTTTTTCCAAACCTTCACAAATTCATAAATATAACTTACTGAGTCCCTTGTTGTTTATGTACTTGACTTCGGGGCTGATCATTCTGCAGTAAACAACAAATGGGTAGGGGTCATCCCTAGGAGAGGCTAATTCTCCTTCTCCACAGAAAGTTGCCTATAGTTAGTTCTTTGTCTAGGGATGAGACCCCGCAAAATTTTTCCCTTTCATAATAATATACCCATTGACATTGCCATTGTTCCTGTCTTATTGATGGCGCCATTTTATGGATGAATTGTTTCACCACACACTTCCTGGTATTCTGACTCTTACATTATTTCTGCCCTCTCTTCCATGATATGCCCTGAGACATAGATACAGGGGAGATGTTGTGCAAATATATCTGGTAGGGCTGAACTCCCTACAGTCTGCTGATCTTTGCATTGTGTCTCCTTGTAACACGGTAGTCTCCATTTGCTGTAAGGAGGGGCTCCATTGATGAAGGGTGGTAGGGTAAGTTTTATTTAGAATGTAGGAAAGAATTATGTTGGTCTAGCAAAGTGGCAGAAATAGATTCTTTTCTAAGGTTCATGGCCCTTGGAAGCTGGCTATAGTTTCAATACCAGGCATGATTTCCCTCCTACTGAGTGGGCCTTAAGTCCAATTAATGATGGAGGAGGGTTATCTGTCTATTGTGTTATTTTCATTGGTCAATAAAGAGACTGCCTTGGCCCTTTGATAGGACAGAAAATTAAGTAGGTGGAGTAAACAGAACAGAATGCTGGGAAGAGGGCTATGAGGCAGACGCCATGGAGCCAGCCACCAGGTCAGACATGGTGAATCTTTCCCGGTAAGCCACCACCTCATGGTGCTATACAGATTATTAGAAATAGGTTAATCAAGATGTGAGAGTTAGCCAGTAACTAACTCTCTAGAGATAATGGGCCAGGCAGTATTTAAATGAATACAACTTATGTGTTATTATTTCTGGGGCTAAGCTAGCCGTGCGGGAGCTGGGCAGGACGAAAAGCAGGCCTGCCCGCAACTCCTTACTATAAATTAAGACACCTGTTGATTGCCATGGACATGAGTGTGCCATTTATTGTGCTTTTATGTATATCTTACCATCATGGTCAGTGTCATAATTCCTAGATGATGTAGCTGGGTAGGACTATTTAGCTGCTTCCCTCCCTTCAAAGTTCGCATAGCCTATTCTGGGACAATAGAAACTAGGGCACAGGAAAGAGACTTTCCAGTCAGATGCAGCTCGAACCAGCTGAGTCCTGTGTCCTAAGTGTGTGGTGTCTTCAGCAGCAGGATCCCCTTCAAACCCTGAGAGGCACCCAAGGGCTTCTTTCAGTAATCTATATTGTTTCGGCAGTTACTTGGGACTACATGACTAATTATTTGAAAGGAAATTTCTTGTGTCTGGTACTGCAGGTTTTGTTAAGCTATGGTTCTTCTGGGGAACATTGTGAGCCCAATTGTTTCAACTTCCTTTAAGTTATTTGTATAAAACAGCTAAATAGTTTCAAGGTAAAGTTATACACACTACAAGTTCTGTAGAATTTGTTTTAAAAACTTCCCTACTCTTCCCCTCCTATCTTTCCTATAGCTGAAGTCAAACACTTTTCGCTCCTTTGTTGATTCCATCTGTAAATTATAGAAAGACTCAAAATAAAAGTGGCTTAGACAAACCCTTACAATTTTGTCCAGTGGATATGCTGTCTTCAGCCAGTATAGAAATTCCAGGGTAGCCTTAGAGATACTAATGCATTCCATCTTTTTTTTTCTGTCACTGTGTGGTAGAACACTTCTTCAAGATCCATAATGATGGCATATATAACTCCTAGTAATACAAGGGAGAGCAGAGAAAATACCATCGGTCTTTCAAAAAGAGACTGTAGAAACTATCATTAAACACTTTTACTTCCATCAAATTGGCTAAAGATTTGTCACATGGTCATAACCAAACTGTAAGGGAAGCTACAAATAGAGTTTTACTGTGTCAATCATGTGCTCAGCTAAATAAACCTGTTATTACTCTCGAACAAGGGAGAACAAACATGAGGAATATCCAGCTGGCTCTAACAAATGTTTACATTGCCACTTTTTGAGGCTTTTTTTCATGTTAGTGTCTGTTAAATTTTTGCTA